CTCCCACTGTGTTCAGTTCCGACGTAGACTTGAGCGACGTCATGCACATCATGCAAATGGAGGAGGACATCAAGAAGAAACTGCAAACAACAGCTCTCTCGTCAGTGGTCTTTCAACTGGACTTGGAGGGAGCTATTCGGTACTCGTTGAAAAATGAGATATCTCTACACAGAAACATCAGCGGGGAACATCTAGACGCTTTGAAAAGCTTTGTGTCGGTGCTCATCAAGTACTTCCCTTTCGGACAGCAAGGACTCAAGTTTTTGACAGAGTTGAAAAAGAGAGCGCTAGACGACAAGGTGGATGTTTCAGGCAAAGATGTTCGGCAAGTCTTCATGAAGTTGGAGGATGAGTTCAAACCGTTTCTTCCTCATCAAGGATGGATCGGCTGTCGAGGTAGTACTCCGGAGTTCAGAGGTTATCCTTGCAGTCTGTGGACGTTGTTCCATACACTCTCTGTCCACGAGGAGCTCAAGGATAGGAACAGCACAGATGAGAAACCTGAGGTCCTGTCAGCCATGGCGGGCTACATCAAGAACTTCTTCAGCTGCAGCGAGTGCTCCGCACATTTCACTGAGATGGCAAAGACCATCGCTGGGAACGTGACGACCCAGCATGACATGGTCATGTGGCTGTGGTCGGCTCACAACAACGTCAACAATCGTCTCGCAGGCGACGCCACTGAGGACCCTCAGCACAAGAAAGTTCAGTTTCCAAACAAAGAAGCTTGTCCTTCTTGTTACACCATGGAGGGATCTTGGAACAAATCCGAAGTCTTTAACTTCCTGAGTCACATGTACTCGAATGTTGTCTACCTACAACCCGAAGATCTCAGTACGACCACACCTGCTCCTGGAAGCGTGCCGTCCGCGACGCAGTACGATAAGAGCCTCAGGCACGAGATGTACGGAGACGATAGAGGCTTCAAAAATCAACGAATCGACAGTTCTTCCAGAACACTGTGGGGCTTCAACATCTTTGATATTAGCTTATGTGTATTGTTGTATATTTGCTCTGTAGCCATTTTAATTTTAGTCTGCATCAAGTTTGTTTTCAAAAGATCTTACAGAAAGAAGCATTACATCCATGATATTTTGAGTAAAGTCTGAGATTTCACTGAAAACTTACCGTTACATTCCATGGGCTGCACAAGTATTGAGTTTGTGTTATGTTACCCAACTACTGTTTTATCTATCAATTTTAATAAAATATTTAAGCGCAGTGCAGTGTATGTAATTTGCCTTCATATTATAATAGCCATTGTTAAGTTTTATATTTTTCCCTTAACCAACGGTACTTTGAAATTCTACTATTTTGTGAAACCTTTTAAAATCAACTGAGTTAAAATTTGTAGCAAATCTTCCTATCCTTTAATTTACTATTTTAAAAGGATAAACTATTGTTACTAGGCCTACCTATCTGATATAACTTAATAAACAATACAATAATCTAACTTGCGGTAAAGCATGAAGACAATAGGCAGTCATTTGAGGGGAATCATAATAGCCTACATTAGAGTAAAGTCTTTGCATAGAAATTTCAAAAGTTTTACGATACCGTCCAATGTAAAATATCTACTAGAAAATGTAAACCCATTAATAGAAATAAATCATAAAATCATAAATTAATAAATAATAGAATGATCTAAGGGCTATTTATTACAAGGCAGCTTCAAATTACATACACTCAATATTTTAAGTTTTGTTAGTTGTTCAAAATTTATGACACCCAATAAATAAATGATGAAACATTGTCACCAGGGAATTAATATTGAGAACTATAATTGTTTATTAGAGTCACTTTAAACATGTTCAGATTATTCAGAAAATTCATCGTTGATTGTTGACCAACAGCTGGTAATCACCTGTAGGCCTACTTTAGAATTAGATAAAAACATCACATATTTAAAAAAAAATCAATCTATCTTGTCTTTCTTCTACGAACAAATTTAGCGTATTGTGAAAAATATTGTGAATTTTATTTATGTTTATAAATTGTTTATATTTTATATGTTTGGTTATTTAAACCTAATTTTACGAATGTGCAGCATTTGAATTCGAGGTTGTGTTGCTTTGTTTTAATTTTGATAAAAATGAATGACTTTCCTATTCGAGGAACAGTTACAGAATTGTGTGCAGTTTTTTTGTTTAAATATTGTAATCAAAGTTGTGTCTACTTAATGAACAAATATAAAGAAGTAATTATCTACTTAGCACGCCCTTTGTCTAATCTCTCTATTTTATTTAGGTGAATAGTGTTACCAATTTGTATTGTATCGTACCTGATCGTGTAAACTATAACTGTCCATTCCAAATTTTGCTAGGATGAACAAATGCATGAAAAAATCAAATTTGGCATGTTCCGAATTGAGATTCTAGCATGGTTTGTAGATTGTAGATATTTTATTCTAATATAAGGATCTGCCGTATGTTTTAATTTATTGTTATCAAGTGGTTTGCAGGTTAGTAAGTGTGATTTTTGTATTTATATATTTTATTAATAATAAACTATGGACTATACTGGTATGGTGTATTATTTTCAAATCTTTCTAAAAAAAAGTCCAAAGAGTTTTTAAAAGTGTGTACTGCTATTGTTAAAAACCCAACCTTTGGATGAAGATGAAGCGTCATGATACCCCAAAAGCGGAGATATTCTTTAAAAATCCAGTACAAAAGTTCTAAAGGGTTTGAATTCATTTCAAAAGAAATTTTCACCTTGAACACAACAGAAACTTTGCTGTGCCATTTGGATCTTTATCGGCACTAATTTAGACCACCACAATCCACAAACTATACTTAGCCTCAACTGTACAGGGTGTGCCACCTTTTGGTATCTCAGAAACTATTAGATTTAGAGAGAAAATTAAATGGAGAACTTCAATGGCATAAAAAATATGAATTCCAATGTTTCAAAAATAGCCACCATTTTCCTATATGGCAGCTAACTTAAATATTTCTTATGGAACACCCTGTATTTTATGATTGATTTAGATTCAAGATGCAATTTTAATACTTTTTTAGTCTTAGCATTTTATTTCTAAACCTACTCGTTTAGGAGCTAAAGCGTGTTAAACTTTGAAAAATTAGTTTGTCTTGTCATTATAGTAATTGTAATTAGCTAATTTTTCAAAGTTTTACATGCTGTAGATCCTAAACAAGTAGGTATAGAGAGAAAATTCCAAGAGTAAAAAAGTATTAAAATTGCATATAGAATCTAAAACAATAATAAAATACAGAGTGTTCCATAAGACATTTTAAAGTTACCCGCCACATTGGAAAATTATGGCCCTTTTTTGAAACATTTGAAAAAAAAAATTTTTTATGTCATTAAAAACTAGTTTAAGTTCTCCATTTAATGTTCTCTCTAAATCTTATAGTTTCCTTTTTGAGATACCATTGGTGGCACAGTTAAGTTGTTCAGCTTTGCTATACAATAACAAGACCAGAAAAAATTTAAAAAAAAAGTTTCAATAACAAAAGTTTCTTAAAACTGATAAAAACACTTTTATAAATAAAAACATTACAATAATCTTTCTCAGAGCTCTCGCCATTAACTTCTTCATGAGAAATTCATCCGGGAAACCCATCCATTAACGTCATTGCACTAGCATTAGTGGTTTGAGCAACTATCTGTAAATGAGCCTGGAAATTACTGTAGTAATCATCGCTTGAGATGTAATTAAAAAAGAGAAATCCTGGGTCTAAATACAAACTTAAAAATATGAAATAATTAGCAATGATTCACAATTGTTGTACTGTATACTGTATTAACCTTGAAATAGAGCACAAGATAACTCATTAGTCTGTATAAGAAGTGAAAAAAATTAAATTTCTGAAATTGGTAAACTGTAAAAACATTTACTACATTGCCAACATGATTCAATTGGTGTTTTTCCTTAGAACCAACATTTTGAACATGTTATGTATGAAAGTACAACTGAATATCAACAATAGACAATCATCTCTTCCAAGATGATTGAAAGATGACATGCTAACTGGCAAATTATCTTGTATTGAATACACAAACACTCTGCCATACATTGTCTGGTTCTTGAAGTAGCTATACTTATAACAATCTGTCAAAAATTTAAATTTATAATGTGATAGTGCTATTTCAAAAGAAAAATATCTAATGTAGAAGAATCCTATGATTGTGCTGATTTTTATTTTCATCGGATAATTAGTAGATAGTTAATTTGAGTTATTATGCCAATTTTGCATGATCCAATTCCAATGGTTAGGTGAAGTTTCTAAAGAGGAAGGTACAATATCTGTTCTAGGTTTGGTTTGTTACTTTTAATTGTGTTTTGTTATGATTAACATCTATGGACTTGCCTAATGCAAGATTTTCAATTAGCCTTACATCAGTGACAAACCAAACCAGAGGCGGAAACAATTTGAAAGTAAAAATAACAAATCATCAATGTCCTTTTGAAACCAAACATTTTAATTTATTGATTCTCAACCCCTTTGGCATATAATTTAAATCCTTTACGAGATAAATAGTTAAAATTACGATTGTCAAATTGAATCAACAAAGCTATAAAACATCATTGTTTAATGGTCTTTCAATAGATGGCAACCCCCAGACTTGTAATGAGATCTAAGGACGTAATTTATGCTCAAAAACCAAAATACAAGCTTCCGCTTTTTCATCTCTGCTCACTAAACTCAACTTCTTAGGATAACAAAATAACCCTGTGATTCTTTGAACTGTTATGTAATTAACAAACTTATCATGTAAATTCAGACACTAAACCGCGACCCGCTTGTTTTAATAAAAGATAACCTCAGTTTAGGATTATGAGTGTATCAAAAAGTTTTTTAAAAGCGTTTAACACAAAAATTCATTGATCACTGATATTTAGCAATGTTAGCACTCATGAAATTTCCAACAATCCCGTTTTTGATCTGGCTTACTTTCATAGAGTTTTCAGAGTCATATGTTGTTCGCAGGGATGTAAAAAGTGATTTTGATGATTCTAACGGTGCAGGCTTGTACAATGGATTTTGCAAAATGGTGGTATTAAATAGCACTAACTTCAACCAGGTAGTTTATCAAGAACAGAAGGATAAACTATGGCTGGTGGAGTTTTACAACCATTGGTGCGGTTACTGTATACGATTTGTAGCTGTGATGAAGGCTTTTGCAACTGAAGTGTATGGTGAGTAAATAACTTTAACTTTATTAAGGAATTTTTTTAAAGTAAATAATTCAAGTAGCTTACCTGAAAAAAAGTCTAGGGGCTAAAAGATACACAATGAAAGAACACAGAAAATAGCACTGATATTTCGTCCTGAAGTAGAACTTCTTGAGAGAGTATTTCTCTTCAACCAAATCTCTAAAGAAGTTACTCTGGACTCTTAATTTCCTCCGGTAAGCTGGATGAACTCTATTCCTTTTCAAGAAATTTTGTACCAGCCAATTGGCTTTCAATTAGAATATAAATAACTTTATTGTAATTCAAGTTTAACAATTTTTAGCCATGACCATTCTGATAACTAGATAACAATAACGTAATTGTATATTACGTTACTAGTCCTGAAACCTAGTGTTCTAGTGTTTACCGGACAAGTGTGTCATTCACGTGCGAGTCAATGTCGAGTGCGGGATTAACGAGTCCAGTAAATATATTTTGGACGAGTGACGTATGATATTTTACGCCATACTATAAGCTAAATAATTTATAAATAAAAAACTTTTTTTAAACAAAACGTTTTTAAATGCGCTAAAAATTAGAAAATAATTTATAAATATATGGAGAGTATAAATACTTGTAAGATTTAAAACGAAAAACGTGGGGTGCATGCAATAGATAATTTACAATTACCTTTACCTATTGAACTAATGTATTAATTATCAATTGCATGCACCCCACGTTTTTCGTTTTAAATCTTACAAGTATTTATACTCTCCACATATTTATAAATTATTTTCTAATTTTTAGCGCATTTAAAAACGTTTTGTTTTAAAAAAGTTTTTTATTTATAAATTATTTTCTACTTTTTAGTTTTTAATGTGTGTGGATGTTAAACCTATTTCATGCATCTATATCAGATTAGGACAGAGGCATGTGGGAAATCTAAGGTTTATTTGAGTTCCTTTTCATATAATTATGTATTAGATTGGATGTACGGCCTACCTACTAACTATAAATATATCAATCTATTTAATTATTGTTTACTTTATAGAATCTATAATATTAAAACGAAACAATGTTTTTTTATTTCACGATTCTGAATCAACCACTCGACGGATTTTCATGATTTTTGTGTTGAAAGAAAGATAATTTTGAGAACTAGGGAATGTCGAAGCCATAATTTTAGTTTAGGGTTTCAGTTTTTTGCAAATTAAGTTTGAAATTTAAAAAAGTCTAGCAGCCGACGCTAACATTCTACTCTAGCTTTTGGTATAATAACAGCTGTCAACCTTCCGCGTTTTTGACACAAATTCAGCTTTTGGATGAAAATGAAATGACATACGTAGAATTTACTTATTTATACTATGTGTAATGCTATAACCATTGATACGTTTAATCGGTAAGATGATGGGAGTTTATTTAAATATACATAATAAAATAATAGATGTTCTAATTTATTTTTTTGAGCAGTCTTTAAAATATTTAGTTTGTTTTAGTGAAATATAATTTGTTATAACTAACAGGTGGTTGAATAAAAAATATTCTATAGATGTATTTGGTTAGTTTATTTACTTTGAGATTTTGTCATTGATTATAGGAAATAAGTAGGATTCTATAACCATTGCTGTATACGAATCGAAGCTCACGCATCTTCAAAAGAAAGCTTATGGAAATTATTTTACTAATCGACTTATGAGGAAAGGTTGGGGAAATAACAATGATCACATGTTTTAACCATCGATCTCTAGAGATCGATGGTTTTAACTCATCTTGAAAGCTTTTTCTTTACTATCAATTTTGATCTGCTTAAACTATGCCTGAATTACTAGACACACTATATACAGTGTTAATGGACTACTTGATTCCCGTACGTAGGACGGGCCAACAGCTCGTATTAAATAAATAAAAAATGACATTATTAACAAACACCTTTATATCTGCAATCAGATTGTTTATCTTTATTTTGAAATATTTGTTTGTATAAAGTATCTCTTGGGAGCAGAACCTGTACCTCTTAACCTCTGCTCCACGAACTGTCAAATTTAAGGATTTACAGCTGACTTAAATTAATTGATATATTTTACATTCTTTCAAAATGTTAACATGGAAAACTTGGAAGCCCATGGGGCGTAGCCCAAGGGAAATATGAAAATTAAATGCTATAATATTGCATTGTCATCCACTTGTGAGCTATGTTTCAAATTTCAACTCTCTAGCTCATCGGGAACTTCGTTTAAAATTGATATAAAAATTTGTAGGAAAGTGAGCTAATAAAAACAAGCCCATGGGGCGTAGCCCAAGGGAAATATGAAAATTAAATTATATAATATTGCATTGTTATCCATTTGTGAGCTATGTTTCAAGTTTCAAGTCTCTAGCTCATCGGGAAGTATCAAAATTTTCAAGAAAGCGAGTTAATAAAAACAAGCCCGTGGGGCGTAGCCCAAGGGAAATATAAAAATTAAATGATATAATATTGCATTGTCTTTCATTTGTGAGCTATGTTTCAAGTTTCAAGTCTCTAGCTCATCGGGAAGTTAGTGTAAAATTGATTGCAAAATTTGTACCGGACAAGAAAGCGAGCTAATAAAAACGTTTTAAAAATCTGTAAAAATCCTAATATATTTCCACCGACTAAAGGACTAAACACTACTCATAACCTCAAAGAGAGGTTATGTTTTCACTCCTTACCAAATAAATACTATCAGCTGGTTGGTGTCCAGTAAAATTTCATTACAGTACATTAGTACATAATGAAACACCATTAGATTGCTGGCGGCAAACAGCTATTTTCTGGATGGGAAGTTCGTAAAAATAACAGTGTAGTGTGGTGTAAAATCATAGATCTTATTAATGTATGCAATTCTTTCTAATACATTGTTTTCCACTTACACCACTATATTGTAGAAGTGCAATTTTTTTAAAAATCTAAAAGGTAAATTTGTTGCTAAAACCGAACTATATAATATTAATATTTTGACTGGATTCTTCATTAAAGAAAATGTTGAATGTAATGTTAAAAAAAAAACTTCTACAAAAACTACTTTTAACGTATTTTCAAAACCACTTCTCAATTTCAATTCTTATCCCTAGAAGCTTTCATATTATTGGGATTGTTATTTACATTATTTGAGGCAACTTCACATTACCCTTTTCTACAGTATGTCTCACAAAAATTCAATTTGAAAATTTATGATGCCCTTTCTCAAACCTACACCCTAAAATGAAAGACATGTTCTGATTTGTTTTAGCTTATCACTCAGTTTGAGCCAACTAAAAAAAGGGATTGTAGGATTACGTACCACATGCACTGAAAAAGTAAGTACTATTGTGATACCCTTTGTGTTATACGACTGTGTTCAGATGATGACCACATGATGCTTAAGATGGAAACATCAAATTCTAATTAATTCACACAATCTAATAATTCTCATTGTACTTACAGATTGGCGAGATGTAGTCAAGGTAGGTGCTATCGACTGTGCAAATTCAATGAACAATCAAATCTGCCGAAATCATGAAATCAAAAGAGTACCGTCAATCAAAATCTTTCCTCCACACTCAGAAGAAAACTTTGTAGGATTAGAGTTCGGAAAGGGGTCAGAGACTACAGTTTCTGAAATGAGAGAAAAACTTGCCCAGATACTCAAATCCTACCATAACAGTCAGAAGGAAATCAGCGGACCCGTAAATTTGGAACTTTTTAAGCATTATGAAATAGAAAAGCTACGGAGCGAGATGATGCCTCCAGTTACTTATCTTATGCTTGTGTTTGAGCCGAAAGATTCTCTGGTTGGAGCTCAAGTAGCTTTGGATGTCTCTAAAACTCCAGAGATAAGAGTGCGATTAGTGCATCCAAGAAACACAAATCTTACACATTTGGTTGGTATGGAGGAGGGTAAGAGTGGTGCGGTGATTTTACAAAGACATTATCAACTCTCTACACATTCACATTCAAACTTTTCAGAAGGTTTGTTAGTAGAAAACAATGATATACCAAAGGAAGATTTAAATGTGAGTGTGTTGGAAGAGGAAATTAAATTATCTTCACAAGCTGATCAAGCCAACGATATTAATCAAATAACAAATATCTCACAGTTTGAGTTCATTCCGTTAGAGACTAAAAACTTTACCAGGGACGGATTGAATAATGCAGTACGAAAATTCTTGCGTGAACACGGTGTCGATATAGCTGCAGAGTTACCTAAAACGCCAATCATTCACACAAACGTTTCAGTTGATGAAATCAAGGAAGCCATGAGGAGGGAAGAAGCGCTGAAACGAGAACTCAACGTAAAACATTTGTCCTCAGTTGTTTTCCAAATGGATATAGAATCAGCTTTAGAATATGCCTTGAAGGGAGAAATAACATTGAAACAAAACATTACCGCATCTCAATTGGAAGCGTTGAGAGACTTTATGTCAGCAGTGATAAAATATTTTCCCTTTCAAGGCCAAGGGAAACAATTTTTCAAAGAATTGAAGGAAATTGAGTTGGATAACAAGGATAGTGTTTGTGGAGAAGATTTTCTCAGAACCTTTAAAAAGTTAGAAGAAAAATACCGTCCGTTTATGCCAAATCTAGAATGGGTTGGATGTCGAGGGACTATACCAACACTCCGAGGGTACCCTTGTAGTTTATGGACCTTGTTTCACACTTTAGTCGTACAAGAAGATCTTCAAGAAAGTAACTCTACTAAACTCCAATCAGAGGCTCTGAATGCGATGACTGGTTACATCAGGAACTTCTTCTCTTGCAGTCCGTGCGCTGAGCATTTCAATCAAATGGCAAAAACCATTGACGGAAACGTAACATCACAGAGAGATGCTGTTATGTGGTTGTGGAAAGCTCACAACAACGTGAATCTACGACTGGCAGGAGATGAAACAGAAGATCCCAGACATCACAAAGTCCAGTTTCCAACCAAAGACGCTTGTCCTTCTTGTTACTCTCAGGATGGATCGTGGGACGAGACAGAAGTTTTTACTTTCCTCAGTAACATGTTTACCAACATTGTTTTGTTCAATCCTCATGACTTGCCGTATTATGTATCTACTACGTCCATACCAACATTGTAGTTAAATCTTTTGATAACTTAAATAATATCCATAATATTACTTAAAAGAGTCTTCACATAATATGTAGTAGGTAGATGAAAAACTGTATGAACATTCTTTTGTAACATAACTCAATTTAATTCAAGGTCTAATATTTATGGCGGAAAAAATTGTCTTGAATCAAATAATCTTTGAACTGTATTGTAAGTTATGCCATTATTTATATTTGTTATGTATATTTTCATTTTGTACTAAGCTTGATATCGTAGCCTGTACATAATTGGTACATGTTGTATATTAACTCTATATTATAAGAAATCAATGACTAACTATTTACTGTATAAAAACTTAAGTCTTCTTAAATAACTATTTATTTATCTACTAAATTATCCACTAAGAGCAGTTTTTTTAATCACAGGTTTAAAAGCACACAGGTTGAAAATCATGATTACATAGAATTACTTATAACATATTACATGTTTATAAAAATAAAAGAGTAAAAGTACGGATTTGTATTTTTATAAGCCAATGTCAAATCACCAAACCAAATGGAATACACTTGTTGTCATACATTTATATGAACACTTTAAGCCCTAAGGCCGATGGTGGATGGTAGTTCAGTTGGCTGAAGCTACTGACGTGTAGCATTGAGGTCTTTCAACAGGCGCGGGTTCAAATCCCGTACATGTGCAATCAATACTAAGCTCAATAATGAGTGGCTTAGCTGGCAGGAGAGGCTCTCCTTAAACAGTGTCAGCTTGGAGGGAAGTTGGCGGTATTATTAAAAGGATTGCACACACCTGTTTTGCTAATTTTTACATTGGTACAGTATAGAGAAACTGATTTTTCCCATTTTTTGGTTAAATATGGACATAGTGTGTTGAAATAAACATCCTTATGAAAAAGACACAAAAGAACATACCCTAAAAATTAATTATCACAATATTCCTGGTGTCATTGGGTTAGGGTTAATTTCAAGGGATGAAAATTAAACTTTGTTTCACAGTAAACAATCAAGCTTTATTCAACAGTTTCCAATCTGGGTAGGCAAACACATAACCATCAAACTTATGGGCTAATAATTGTTCAACTGAAATTGGTAACTAATAAAATAAAATATAAGATGTATATAGTTTCTATTTCAATATAAAATAATACATTACCAATCCCCAGCATTAAGATAGGAATGACAGTGCAACTAAATATAAAAATATAATAAGGAATACTTCTAAATATGTCAGTAATATCGTTTATTTAAAATAAAACCTTAAAAATAATCAAATGCATTAATTAAAAGATTTAGTCAGTGGTAGAATAATAAAACTAGAAAAAAACGTCAAAACTTATTCAGAAGAGTAAATTTTGACTGTCACTATCCTTACATTGACATTGTTTCAACACTGTTCTACATATATTACTTATGAAAAATAACGTCATGTAAAAATTTATAAAAACTAAACTCACTACGATGCGCAAGTCATGAATTTGAGATATAAGAAACTTCAAGAGTAATGTGCATCTAACATAAGCTAAGAGGTTATGTGCACAATGTTATACGAAGAGTTAATCTTAAAAAGAGTTTTAACATTAAAACAAGCAAATAGTATAATACACAATTTTAGAATAATTTTCCCTCTCACAAGAAAATATAGATAGTTTTTTATTTACATTAAATTTATTGCTCCATTCAGCAAAAGTTGTTAACTTGGAATTATTCACTTCGTCTTCGTTCCAGCAAACGTATTAACAATTATACTAGCACATGCCAAAGCTTAATTTTACAATATTCATTGGTACCTAGAATGACTTATGGCTGATAAAACGTTACCAAATGTGTCAACAATTGCAATAACATCAGCTGTTGAGTGTTAGTCAGCTGTTTGAAGCAAACCTTTCATGTCCCATTCCACCATACAACTTTAAATAGCTGGGAAAGATCCATATCAATTATTAATAGAATTCATAAAGGTAAAAACAATTTAAAATACTTGTGGAATAAAACCTAATACAACACAATTTTATACTTACGTATCAGATCTCTTTTATTGCTAAAACATTTTAGAGAAGTCTGGAATATTTTTTGTATTATAAAATAAAAGTTTCTCACCATTCAGTTTATTTTTCATAAAAAATGTTAGTCAAAACTTAATTAGTTAATTAACCACTAATTTTTCAAGCAAACATTTAGGGTATTTCAATTAAAATGACCATAGTTGTTTAACCCGCAAACTACTAAAAGTAGCATTACTGTACATGTAGACTAGAATTTAAACAAATTTCATCTCCTACTTCCTACTTCAAGTACGTTTGGCACAAAACTAAAAATAAAAGTCATCGAAATTCCCACCAACTTGAAAGCATAATGAAATCAAAGTAGTACATAGTTTCAGTTGTGACTAGAAAATCTAACACCAATGGATTTGATGATGGGTCAGTACAAAACCTATAGAACACATCTAACGGCTGCAAACAGCCCTAAACTTTGTACTATTGTCTTCAACTAGTACGCTAGAACATCCATGGACGAAATTTACATGTTTCAGTGTAAAATCCTTCAACCAATCAGGTTGAAAGTCTTGATCAATCAATACATTTCCACCACAATATATTTAACCAAACAGAAATGCTTTTCTTATTAATTTTTAGTTAGTTTTAGTTTTAATGTTTTGTAAATCATATGATGATGGCTATATCTCATTAATTACATAAGATAATTATAATGAAAATGAATGGGGATAAAGAGAAAATTGTAATTTAATTTTCCAATATTTTGCTTAAGTCTTAGTTTTACAACAATCACTTTAGTTCTATTTTTTTTATTAAAATGGACCTAGTCCAGGAGCCAATAGCAGATTGCTTTTGTGTCTACGATGATTATATTTTCTACCTCGTTACTAAAATCCGTCTGACATAAAATATGTTATACCTGGCAATAAGTTGTCAGAATTACATAGTTAAAAAGTCTGCATATTGTCACAAAAATTAGTAATTTACATCACAATCTGTCCGTGGCCCATTTTAACCAGGTCTATTTTGATATTAAAACTGGCGACAACTTTAACGTGGGGATGGAATACCTGGCTCCATCATTAAACTAAGTTCTTATCTAATTCATTAATAATGATATATTAGATTTTAGTTTAGAAAATAAGAACTTATAACAATGCTTAACCTGCTAAGTCCAGGTATTGTAAAAATTTAGTAGCAAACACAATTTTTTCCTAGTACTAATTAATTTTCAAAGCGCAGTTATATATTTCATTTACTATTACAGGTCTCTTACACAAAAGTGGGGATAACACAAATTTCATTACATCAACACACTTGTAGGGTGCTACAAACAATTACAAGGTATTAAACACTGAACATATAACAGGTAATGGTCCCAAAACACAAGCAAGGGAATTTGACACAAAATTGGAAAAACATTTAAACATTTTGATCATTTAGTAGCGATAACTAATACAGTTCAATATGCATTTGGTTTGAGTGGGGAAAGTGTACGAGTCACAGAAAAAGAAAAGACAGAGGACGTTTTATATGGTGTTGATGTTTCGGCCATGTGATGGTTTACAATATATTGTGCAACACACCGATATAAACAAAGATGGAGAAACTGCCATCTCAATTTGTAGACACAACATTTAGTGCCATTGGTCAACACAACAGTACTAAAACGTCCTCTCTTTTTTTACAATTAGGTTTCTTAATTCGGAATTACAAATTTGACCTCAGTTTTACTACTCATTGATCTAGTTGTTGAATTAAACAATGACAATAGGCTAGCAGTAATTAACAATCTAGATATAAAAATACTCGTGTCCTGGATCCTATTCCTATGGACTCTAGATACGAAAATAGAATTCAGTGCTCATAACTGAAGTGAGGATCATCAAAGTAATAGAGGATTGGGAAGGAGAGTATCTGTATTGTTGGTCTTTACAAGTAATTTATAGGAAATTTGTTATAAAATTATCTAATCAAGGATTAAGGTACTACTGTGAATAAATTTGGTGGATAACCTTAAAACCTAGTCTACAGTAATTTTTTGATTACAGAAACACTTATCATGAAGTAGGCATCCCACTGCTATATTTAGGTTGTACCTAGCTTTATAGTAAAACCTGCAAGAGGTATTTCAGTTTGTTCTAATCCTTTTACCAACTACATCCTTTTTGTGACACAAAAAAAAAACAATTTACACAGTAAGGATGTCTATAGTCTGTATGATAGAACCTGTCTCCTTACCGTCAGTCATTAAACCATTGACCATTCCCCAGGTAAACCTCTGGTGAGGAGATAGATTCGATCATACAGACTCTATGTATCCAAAGTAGATGAACTGCACTAGTGACAGTAACTTTCCGAAAACAATGCTGAATTACTATTTTATGATTTGATTTAATCCCAACATTTTTTAAAATTATTTACCATGTATTTACTCTTAAATTCCAGAAGGCCTCAATATTTTCCCTCATTTGACTAATGAAGACAAAAAATGTCAGATTTTGAGAGAAATATTTTTTTTTTATTTATGAAAGGTTTTAAAATGTATACTAATATCCACTATATGTTAAGCCTGTGGTACAGTACAAAAACGGTACACCCATACTTTCAGAATCCATCTTGACTGCTATAGGCCTTGTCAGTGTTGATTTGGGGTAAATAGTAGCATCATTTTTACCCTCTGCATCCCTTTGATGCTAGGTTAAAGGTTAAAATACCTATTTAGTAACATTGGATTTATAGTAGTATACGCAACGATTGCGTAAAGATAGTGCTAACGATACGAGTAGAAAATTTAAGGTATGAACCTATTTACGCGAGTTGCGTAAACTACTTTACCTACGACAGTGTTTTAATTACTAAAAATCACTACTCATAACTTCTAAGAGAGGTTATCCTCTCATTGCTACTGACAGTGATACAGTCTAACCTTGATATAACGAACCTCGATATAACGAATTCCTTGATATAACGAATTTTTTTCAATCCCCTAGAACTCTCCATAAGACACAATGTATATTTTACCTCTACATAACGAACAAACCATAACAAAGACCTTGATTTAACGAATTTTTCATGATTTCGGCTAAAATAAGACACCTCAATATAGCGAATTTATCATTGTCAGAACCTCTACATTGCGAATTTAACCTCTACATAACAAATTGTCTACGTCTTTCCCTCGATATAACAAATCCCCCACCCAATTATTGTTTTGGGAAAATCTGTTTCTTTATCAAATGAAATAGAAAGGTCACGTCATCGCTTGCGCTAACATTCGTCTGCTCAGTTTTACATCTTTGTCTGCTGTCGCTGCGCGCGCTATGTCGCAACTTGCAACTGAGAACTGATTTCATTCACTGAGGGAGGACTGAAGACGACGTAATGTTTAGTAAGCTGTGATTGGGCGATACGGGATAACTATGGTGAATTGTACAATTTTTGGATAAAGAGAAACCTAAGAAAGAATATAA